CCTGAGGATGCTAGTTCTCTGACTCTTATTCTGATGCTTTGACTTCATTTAAGGCTGAGTGGCTGACCTGGAGCAAGGAAAGATATAAGTAGTTCTGACACTTTTTTTTTTTTTTTTTTTTAAAGTCCGTGGAGGCGCAAAAAAATGAAAAACCCCAAAGTGGACAAAAAAACGTGCAAGTGCAAATCACCATAAAATTATTTAAAAAAGTGTCCTTAGGGGTTGTTTTTTTTTTTTTGAAGTCCGCGGAAGACACATAAGTGCGAAAAACTAAAACCTGTAAGTGAACAAACAACGTGCTAGTACAAAACCAACACAAAAAAAGTGCACTTAGGGGTGTGCTTTGTCCACCCCCCGAAGGGGTAGGATCTCTACCCTGATCCCCCAGGGCACGAAGCTCCTGACAGGGACTAAGGTTCCCATGTGATCCACCTAGCCAAAAGGCCTGGCAGACCCCTTACCTTGTGGCTAGCCTAAGCCAGCCACCAAGTACTAGGCTCTCTCCCAAAGAGAGACCCCCTAATTACAGGGGAGGAAGGACCCAAAAGGTCACCCATTCTTCCCCTAGACTTCAGGGTAGGCCCAAGGACCCACACCCTACCATCCGTGAGAAAAAAAACCACACACATAAGTGAAAAGTGAAACAAACATGGGAGAAAAAAAATAAATAAGGAAGTAAGTAAATATAAAACAGTGGCCATGCAATTGTGCACTTGCTAGGCCCTGAGGCCTTCCCTTAACCTAAAATAATTTATTCCCTCTGCCCCCACCACCACCACCATACTCCTTTTGTTGTTGTTGCACAATAGGGAGAGTGTTCTGATCCAATTGCAAAGGACCATGGTCACTCTAATTTGCATACCTTTCCTCAACCCTCAAGAAGTGTGGGATTATAAAAAAATATGCAAATTTGTCTGACATTCCCCACCCAGAAAACCCCTACTTTTTCCCAGATGTCCGCTCAGTTTGTTGGATCGGACACGCACTGGGGCACAAGGCTCCTGACAGGGACTGAGGTTTCCACATGGTCCACCTAGCCAAAATGCTTGGTGGACCCCTTTCCTTGTGGCTAGCCGAAGCCAACCAGCAAGTACTAGGTCCAGCCAGGGGCCAGGCTAGGTGGACCATGTGGAAACCTCAGTCCCTGTCAGGAGCCTCGCGCCCCAGGAGGTACCCCTTCAGGGAGTAGACAAAGCACACCTGTAAGTGCACTTTTTTGTGTTGGTGTTTTGTAATTGCAATTTTTTTGTTCACTTACGGGTTTTTCATTTTTTTTCGCACTTCTGCGGACTTTAAAAAAAAAAAATGATGGTAAGTAGCAAATATGCTAATTAGATACAATGCTCTCCCTAAGTTAAACCAGTATGGTTCAAACTATTTTAACTTAGGGAGAGCATTGTATCTGATTAGCATATTTGCTACTTACCATAAATTGGGAACCTGAGACTAGGATGATGCATAGTTTATGAAATAATATCACAGATCCCCCCATTGAGAGAGAGAGAGCAAAAATGCTAATTATATACAATGCTCTCCCTAAAGTAATATATAAGGGCCAAAAACATCATTATTCAAGGAAGGAGGGGAGATCTGTTGGATCAGTGCGTGTCCGATCATGTCAGACAAGTTTGCATATTTTTGAATAATCCCACGCGTCTTGAGGAAAGGTATGCAAATTAGGTGACCATGGTCCTTTGCAATTGGATCAGAACACTCTCCCTAATGTGCAACAACAAAAGGAGTATGGCATGTGGAGGGGAATTTTTTTTTGGGCTGAGATAACACTTTTTTTTTGTGTTTGTAAGTGAACAAAAACTGTGCACGTGCAAAATACCGATTTTTTTGCTTTTTCACTTTTTTGCTGCCCTGAAGTCTAAGAGGAGGATGTGTAGCCTTTTGGTTTCTTCTTTCCCTGTTCCTGGAGGGGTCTCTCCTCGGGAGACCTAGTATTTCTGGACACATAGGGAAGACAGATGTCAAGCATTTTCATGAGGAGGCTTGCAATGTCACTCCCTAACGTCTCTTGTGACACAATCGCTTTAGGCAGGTGTGTCCTTGTGTATGTTCTGCAAATGGGGAACCTAAAAACAGTTTGCATTGCATACCCATGTGTTTTGTCAATCTTTTGGTAAAACACAAAACATCCCCTATTTGACAGTCCTAAAACTTTCATGTGTGGATAGGTTTTGATTTTTTAAACACTTGGGAGAATAAAGAGTTGAGTAACCACAGCAATTTGTTGTATATTTGCATAGGAGCCAGGGCCAGAAAATGCAGGCACAAATCTAAAACACTTGTGAATGTAGTCACTTCCAGAGGTACATACATTAACCCTTCCACTGAAACCAAAACGTTTCTCACTCATACTGACAAAGATTGTATTGAAGTCATAATTTTTCATTTTCATTATTCTTCCACACTTAACACAGGAAAGAATCATTTGTGTACTATTCCTGGCTTGTATTTTAGATGCAATATATTCTAAACAATTGCTGAGAGTAAAAACGTTTGCAGAAGCAATCATTTAAAACATATTTCTAAAATACATACTCTCAGTGTAATCAGTTAAGGTGAATGTATGGTTCATGAGGTCAATAAAAGAAAATATCATTGTAAATGAAGCAGTAGGCAAGTGATGACAGATAGATAAAACCAAGGTCCATGTTAAATAACACACACAGGAGTTGATTTACTAAAACTGGAGCATGCAGAATCTGATGCAGCTGTGCATGGTAGTCAAGCAGCTTCTTTCTTCAGCTTGTTCAATTAAGTTTAACAATAAACACTGGAAGCTGATGGGTTACTATGCAGAGTTGTACCAGATTTTACACTCTCCAATGTTAGTAAATTTATTTATTATTTATTACAGGTACTTATACAGCACTGTCAATGTACGCAGTGCTTTACATATATATTGTACATTGACATCAGTCCCTAACCCTCAAGGGGCATACAATCTAAGGTCCCTAACTTATATTCATATATACACATACTAGGGCCAATTTAGACAGGAACCAATTAACCTACCAGCATGTCTTTGGATTGTTGGAGGAAACCGGAGTACCTGGAGGAAACCTATGCAAGCACAGGGAGAACATGCAAACTCCAGACGGGTTGGTGCCGTGGCTGGGATTCAAACCAAAGACCCTAGTACTGCCAGGCGGAAGTGCTAACCATTTAGCCACTATGGTGTTGCCCACAGATTAATTGCAGCCAAACAAAATTCATCCTTAGGGTTGTGTCACTGTGAGTTAATGGAAATCATATTTTTTTGCATTGTTCTACTTTATGGCAATTTAATGGCTTGGTGGTTAACAAAAGAGAGCTACCGTATTTTTCGCCGTATAAGACGCACTTTTTCTTCCCCAAAACTGGGGGGGAAATGTCAGTGCGTCTTATAAGGCAAATATGGAGCGGCCGGTCCGGTATTTCCACCGTGGCCGTGTCAGAATACCGGGCCGGCCGCTCAGCTCTGCAGCGGGACCTTACCTGTTCCTCTATCCAGCGGCGCGCTGTCTTCCAGGCTTCTGTAGTGTGGGCACTGGGCATGACAGCCGGGTGCCAAGTGCGCATGCGCAAGAAGCGGTGCTTTTTGTGAATGGTAAGGCGGTACCTAGGACACATGACAGATCCCAGAAGCCGCTGGACCAATCACAAAGTGCAAGTGCTTCTCGCTCATGCGCACTGGGCACCCGGCTGTCATGCCGAGCGCCATTACAGAAGCCAGGAAGACAGCGCGCGGCTGGATCGAGGAACAGGTAAGATCAAAGAACAACTGCGGAAGTAAGAGCGGGTACCTGTCAAATTCAGGTACCCGCTCCCCCACCTCCCCAAAGGTCAGCAGTCATCTGTACTGTCCGCAGTCTCTGGTCATCCCTGTGCTGTCCGCAGTCTCTGGTCATCCCTGTGCTGTCCGCAGTCTCTGGTCATCCCTGTGCTGTCCGCAGTCTCTGGTCATCTCCTGTACTGTGTCTGCAGTCCATTAGTTCAGAATTTTTTTTTTACTGTTTTCTGCCTCTAAAACCTAGGTGCGTCTTATGGTCAGGTGCGTCTTATACAGCGAAAAATACGGTAATCAATTGCTCGTAAAACGGTTGATATTTCTAGATTACCGCCCAGTTCCTCTGGTTTGGAAACCCAAATGCAGATCAAAAATATTTTGGATAAATATTCTGTTGGCAACTGCCTCATTTGGTATCCTAGCACAACAGCAAATTGACAAATGAGATTCTTGGAATATGGCTCAATGATACTTAAAACTGTAAACCAATTAAAAAATGGGTGCTAGCCCACTGATCAGGTTAATTCTGTTAATACCATACTTGTCTCAGGCTTATAGAGGGTTATTTACTAAAACTGCATGGTACAAAATCTGGTGCAGCTCTGCATAGAAACTAATCAGCTTCCAGGTTTTATTGTTAAAGCTTAATTAAACATGCTGAAATTAGAAGCTGATTGGCTACCATGCACAGCTGTACCAGAATCTGAGTGCACCAGTTTTAGTAAATCTTCCCCATAGTGTCATGTTGCCACAATATGGAACCCTAATAGGCTTTGACATAGGTCCCTTGGATTAAGGTGCCATACTGCTTGTATACTTTGGTGTCAGCAGGCTGTGGTCAGGATACAATTTTCCATCACATTTCTGGAAGGTAGTATATAATTCACCAGCACATTTATTGGAGGTAGGGAAGTATGAGAATGTACCTTCCACTTTAAGAGTTTAACATGCAGAGGATTGGAAACAAGGTAAAGTGTAGAAAAATACAGTAAAGATAACTAATAGAATCCTTAGAGACTACCACTTTTGCAGCACCAAATTTATTTTTTTTTATATATAATTTTGAAAACTAGTCATCTGCTTATATTACACTGTTTGACATTTTGGAAGCTTTAAATCAATGATTGTTAGCTTGTTGGGTGACTTTTCCAAGTTTTTTTTACAATTCCATAATAACATGAAATTAGAGAAGTACAGTGAGTTATTATTCTGAACTTACCTTGCCTTGGTGAAACCTGCTGGTCCCTGTTCCTTGATACCTCAGCAACAGATGGACATTGTCCTTGAACTCTCTCTAGTCTCTCAGTTATTCTTTGTTTTTCCTCTTCCAAAGATGTCTTTTCCTTCAAGAGGTCAGAATAGGCCATCTCAAGACTCACTCTCTGTCCTTCCCATTCATCCTTTTGCATTCTTAATGTCTCCAGCTCCTTCTGATTATCTGTCCATGATTGAGGTGAAGAAGTGGCTTGTTGTAGGTCTTTCCCACCTAAGAATTTATTCAGCATCTTCTCCATCAAACTGACCCTGGTTTGTAAGGCAGCCATCTCTTGGGTACGGGCTGCATTTTCACGTTGAAGCTCCCTAATAGTTGTCATTGCTTCTCCAGGTTCAGTACAGCTTCCTTCTGAAGGACTGGGCACTGTAAAAGTATATGTACATTGCCCTTGGCGGTCAATGGCTCTTCGGAGTTGAGGACTCCCTTGTGCCAAGCAAAATACCAGTGGCACCAGAATATGAAGGGTGAAAAACCCCATGTTCCTGCACTGAGATATGTTGATGCTTATTATATGTCCAACAAGACAATCTGCTTGTAAAACACAGTTAAGGCAAACTACTATACACTAAAGTTAGTCACTATACTAAAATAAGTTTCTCTGTATGGGACTGCTCACCTCAGCATCTCCTTTATACACTTAGCATGGATGAGGGATGGGGTAGAGGCGGGCCTTGAAGAGGGGGATAGATAAAATGACAAGAATCTTCGACTCTTGCGTCTCAGCTGTGGAGTGACACTTTGCCTGGAGCCAGCTCATATTGCAGCCTCTTGCTGTTTAGTAGTCCCTGCTTTCAAGAAGGCTAAATCAACATGTAAACATATCCAGCCAGTTAGAACATTACTTACAGACCAGCAGCAAGACTTACTAAATCCTGCAGCCTACTAAGTATTTTAATTATTATTGTAGGGCACGATTAAATATTTTTGCAGTAAATTCTATTTTCAGAAAGATTTTTGGTAACGTGCTACAGAAAATTTCTAAACTTTTTTTTTTTCCAAAGACGAAAAAGACTTGGTAGGATTTTTAGATCTGCATATAGAAAAAAATAGAGCAAAAATGTATTTCACATGTTAAAAACACATATTACGTATTATAAGAAAGTGCTAGCCACCACTATCATCCTGTTCTTTGGCTTTGGTACTTTCTGAGTTTTTAACCAAGAACAAAAGTGCAGATATGCAGTTAAAGGACACTTTTCAAAAGGATTTTAAGCTATGGCAGATACTGGAAGCTGAACTCCAGGTATGATCGTTATTGCATATTTACATCAGTCCATCAAGGACCAATATAAGTATGCAAACTCATACCTTATGAGCTACTGAAGAAGCTAACAGGCACTGTAACAATCAGTGTTACTACAGTGACAGCCACAATCTTCCTGGTCCTATGTAAATGGATTCTCTGCATACTGAACAAAGGATTCTCTTAATCGGCATTGCCATTCACAGAAAACCTTGTATTTTTTTTATTGAATACAAGGGGTTCCCTGATTGCACGAGGTGGAGAGCAGGGATGGTGGCTTTACAATCTCCATCTAATCAAATCAGAGAACGCCTTGTAATACAAAGCATTCTATGAATGGTGACAGTGCCATGCCAGTGAACCCCTGTGATCAAGTGCAGAGTGGAAGCTACTGGGCACAGGACCTGAAAAAAGTAGCACCAACTACTACAATGATATATTGAGGTATACATACTTACATCAGTCAACTGGACCAAGTTAAAGGAAGTCTAAGTTCACCTTTTAGAAAAAAATAATAAATGCACATTTTTTTGCAGGTAAAAAAAATGTGCATTTATTATTTTTGTCTACAGGAGGCTGGAATGCATTGCACCAGCAATCAGTAGAACACTGACTCCATGCAGGTTTTGTGCAGACCTGTCAGAATATCTGCTTGCTGTACGGTGTGTACGAGCAAGCAGATATTCTGACAGGAAACTTCAGCCTAGGTTCACACAGATGTGATGTGGAATTCACACTAGTTTCTGTGCGAATTCCGCACCGCATCACAATTGCACCCTGTTCTTGAGAACCGCTGCGGGTGTGTATGTTAAGTTAACAACACCGTGAAATCGGTCCGCAAAACGCGGTGCGATGTGCAGAATCAGATCGCATAGGTGTGAATACCCATGTTATCCAATTCTAGTGCGGACCAAAAATGTATGGCTCCAATTGCACCACACACAATTTGCATGTGATTTGCACAGGAATGCAGTGCAGTTCCTGTGTGAATCACATGCGATATACTGCACTGCACAAGTGTGAACCCAGCCTCAATGAACTTCCACGGCACTCCACAGCACCATGGTAGTTCATTGAAAACTACAAGCTAACAGCTGCTAACGCTGTCAGGACTCGCAGTTCATTCATTCACGGAAGTCCGTGAATGAATGATGCGACTGTGTTGGCGGAGCCCCTCACGGCCACGTTGTTTTCAAATTTGACAGATAGTACAGGGAGACTTCTCCCCATAATATCTCTAAGAGGAAAGGGGGCAGCGGTCGGCGGGGGCAGCTATGGGAACATATTACAAATGGGTGGAACATGTTCCCAAAGGTGAACTTATCCTTTAGGTATGCAATAAAACAGAAAATTGTATCAAATACTTATCATAATGTTCCTTTCCTGGCACCAAACCATGGCAGCATACCCACAGGACCAGTGCAAAACTTTAAAGAGTTAATGCCCACGCAACAACCCATTCCCTGTACATTGCTAGGAATGAACTGCATAGCTTCCCGCCAAAGACACCCGTAGTGAGGACTACTAAGTTCCATAAGACAAGAAAGGGAATAGGCTGTTGTGTGAGTGTTAACTCTTTATGGCTTTGCACTGGTCCTGTGGGCAGAGGTAGGAGGGGCTACTACCACATTTATGCTGCCATACTGGTGCCAGGAAAGATCATTCCTGGAGTTCAGCTTTAAAGTATTTCTGTTTAATTCTCTGTCTCTGTTTTTTGCTCCACTTGCATTCAACATTTTGTAGCACTACCCCCTTAGGAGTTGCTAGAAGATTTGGTTCCCCTATAGTCCTGCACAGCCAGGTATCACACATCTTCACCAAGACTTGCATCCAGAGTCAGAAATCAGTCCTTGAGCTTTTGTTTTGTTATTTTATTGAGGTGATTTGAACTGGGATAGGGTTAAGGGTGTACAGTATACCCAAGGGTACTGATAAACTGAGGATCACTTCCGGGAACTATTTTCAAGCCTTCTCTGCAGTGCAATCTCTGTTGGAGAGTTGGCCGCATCTCCTTAGTGTACCACCACAGACCCTAGATGAACTTCTCTTCACCCAGCAATCTGGAGGTATCACTCAACAGGGGATCCGGTTCCTGTCACTGTAAGAGATGAACAGTCACTGGTAGGTTGCTAATCTGGTTCCCCACCAGAGTGCCCAGGGGGAGTAGGTGTACTCACTCAGATCCTTTCCTGCAGTGCATATGGGTTGGTGGCCGCTACCAGGCCTATCAGCTTGGCTGCTCCTTCCCTGCCATACAGGTGGTCCTCTCTCAGGAGGCTGGTGAACTCTAAGCTTTCCACAATTCCAGCTCCAGGTTTGCAAGTGGGCCCCATCCCAATGGGCCTCCTCATAGCCTCCTTCCTTCAGCCTCACATATTCCTCTTTGTCTTCTACCTGAACTCTCCCTCCAACTCTCCTGAATCTGAGAAGACTCCAGAACTTTTAAGGTTGTCCAGCCCCTTGCCAACCTCTTGTTGGGCATTAGCTAGGATCCCTCAAAAGTGCAACCAGCCACTTCTTAGATCCACCCACTGCCTCCAGGGACCTCCTCCAATAGCCCTGCCACAGGCTGTGGTTTGTCCTGCCTCCTCATACATCGCTACAGGACATATAATTCATTAGAGGAAACCACTGCATGCAGTGGGGAAGCAAGTATTCCATGTATCCAGAAGTGTGGAATACATGCAGCAGCTGTGGTGCAGCAAAACATCAGTGTTTGAACAAATGGTCTACTGGAAAGGTAAGTATACATACTATTCTTTTACAGGCTGCAACCTACATTTGAAAAGAGGTGATATCTCCATAAGGAGGAGCAAATGGGTGAAACCAAATGTTAGGCTCAGTTTCTCCTACCTAAGTGCCTATAATGCAGTGAAAGTAAGGCAATCAGTGACTGAGGGTGTGCAAGGGCTGTGAGTAGTGTAGTACCCTCCTAGGTAGCTAGGGGGAGCACTAGCTCTAATTGTCATTGTGATAGCCAGGTGGGGCAAATTTAGGTCAGAGCTGAGAAGCTCTACAGACCAGCTCCCTGGGATTTCCCCATGCTCTAGGACTTTGGAGAAAGATCTAGAAGCAGTGGGCAGAGGTGAGGGAATGGCTGATCTGTACTCTTAGAGGATCCTGGCCAATCCCAAACATGAGGCTTGGCAAGGGGCCAGGACAGACTTTAAGAGTAACAGAGCCTGCTCAGCATCAGGAGAGTTGGAGGAGAGTTCAGGTGGAAGATGAGGATGTGAGGCTGGAGACAGAAGCTTGGGAGGGGCACAGATGGGAGAGGGACTCACCTTCAGTCAGGAGGACGTAATAAAACTTCAAAAAAACAAGCTCAAGAACTGGTTACTGTCTCAGGCCATGATTAACGCCTTGGCTTTTTATGGCTTTTTGTCAGTTATCAATAAAGGACTGCATGGTTTAGCTGATCTACACTGGGGCCAGCCTCTACTTATGTTCCCCCAAAATTCTTAATTAGACCACATCATGTGACTCCATAGATAGATAGATAGATTTTTTTTTTTTTTTTGTAAAACTGAAAAGCAGTTCGTGTTTTTCCAAAATCTTGCTTTCCTAATTGTGTTGACAGTCACTGAGCTCCATTCTTTCCTGGTGAGTTATGTTTTGGTTCATTCAGGGGGTTAGTTGATACAGTGAGTTTACTTTGTCATGGTGCACAGGGACAATTTCCTGGCAAAGGAGGGCGCAATCGGATACTGATCTCTGCTGCCTGCTTTTCCCTTGTTTTATTTCGTACAGTCCAGAATCCAGATTTTAGCCATTTCTATTCAAATTCCCATCTGCATCTTTCTGATTTGCTCATACTAGTTGTCTCATTTGTGAATTTCCGCACATACTTCATATGTATCCTTAGGTCTGCTGAATAAGACTAAGGTTGTCCGTACATAAGCTAGCTGTCTGCAAAGAAAGGCTTTTCATTTTTCAATTGCTGTCACTGGATAGTCAGCTCCTGTGTGTGCTGCTGCTGCTCCTGAAGACCTTGAAGCCTCAATGAAGTGAATTCTTACCTAGTCTTCACATGCTATAGTCATTCAATACCCATTGGTTATGCCAATTCACATTGCACATGCCTGTTCCACTGTTGTCACCAAGTAACAGTTATATCTCTGTAACATCCCTGTGATGCATACCTACAGTCATGGCCGAAATTGTTGGCACCCTTGATATTTTTCCTGAAAATCAAGTATTTCACACAAAAAAGGTATTGCATTAACACATGTTTT